CCGACGGAGTCTAAATGAAAGTTGTAGAGTATGGTCTGACCTTCGCGTGGATATAAAGAACGTCGAAAACGGAGCTCGTATGCGAAAGTTACGCAATTTAGAAGTTTGACAAGTCAATTACGCCCCGCGTAATTTGAGTACCCCGCGTACTCAGTCGGATGCAACTTGTCTGACCAATACTCGAGTGCCACCAGTCGACGCACGCAGTGACGTCAAAGTACACCCCACGTAACGCGAGTACGCCCCGTGTACTGAGTACGCCCTGCATAATTTGAGATTACGCCCCGCGTAATCCCAGACCCAGCAGCCTATAAATAGAACTCGAATTCAGCCATTTTCTCTTGTTCAAACTCTTCCCTCTCTCTAAGTTTTGCCTCGTTTTGCGTGTCGTTTATGCCCAAAGCCCCGGTATATTCCCGAGCCCCGAAGCAAGATCCGAAGCCCCGAGGATCCCGAAGAGCGTTATTCCCGAGCCGAAACGCTGCCCGCGAGGAGCCCGGTTTTGTGAAGATCTTCCAGATCTACGGAGAAACACCTCTTCTGCAAGCCGTAGTGCTGCCCGATCATCTTCTGATCAAGTGAGTGTGTAGTTATTTTCATTCCAACGCAATATTATGAAGTATTTCTATAAAATACGTGTTATGTGTATATATTTGGTTGTTATACGTGTGAGTGTATATTCACTCTCTTCTATCTTATAGATCTGATGTATTCTCTATGAAATACGTGTTATGTGTGTATGCCTCATCTGTTATGTGGAATATGTGTTGATTAAACATGTTATACAGGTTTTTAAACTATGTATAAAAATGTATATTTTTATCTACTAATATGTTGGGTAGAACATGGGTAGTAATTGGTGTGTAATAAACAGATGAGAGGCCTCGGTGTTATTGGTGTTATTCTAGTCATTCAGCAGAGTATGGATGACGACCACGGACTATTCTAGACTGTCCTGTGGAACACTAGCAGGCTCATTACCTGTAGGTGTTGTGAACGACGTGTTCACCGGTGTACTCTATCCCCCACATGGTTGCCTTTAGGACACTTATTGTTGAGGAAGCCCCTCTGCAGTAATGTCCGTCCCGATGAAAAATCCTGAAATAGGTTCCTTATAATAGACGTTATTTTTAGGAACGTAAGGTGAGGATAACGGGAATGGGTAATCGGGTTTATTGTTGATTGTTGAAATTAAATATAATTATTGTGGGTTGAAAACCCTATATGCTCACCAGGCTCCCAAGCCTGACCCACTCAGTTGATTTATTTTACAGGAAGTGGCGCAAGAGCTTAAGATGGGCGAACATCAAGTTGTTTTGTTTACAAGTCTGTATATGTATATATATTTGTTGAATGACTTGTAATGCTATCGTTTATGCTTTATGATCTGTATCGGAACATGACATCCCGACTTTTGATTATGAAATGAAATCATATTTCTTTATGAAATGTTTTGATAAATATCTATTTTATCATGTTTTGTTTTTGGGAACAAATTCCGCATCTCTTTTAAAATTAAAAGGATTTACTCTGAAAATTATTTTAAAAAGCATAAATGAAATCGGTCTTTTCTGGCCGAGATTTTGGGGATGTCACAAATGCATGAGGTTTTGTCATGCAATCCATCATATCTTGGTTTTCCCCCAACGTTGTCTGTAAATAGCAGTTATACAGTGTTTGACTAGATATTGCATGAGGAATAATACTGACCTATGTAGTCAAATTTCATTTGATCCTTCTACCAGAAATGGAGAAGTAAATATATTTAGAATCATCGATGATTTGGTGTTGACATCTAAAGTGCTCAGCCGAGCCCCGACTAAAATTGATGTGCTCAATTTAGCAGTTAAAAGCAATCATCACAAATCTATGTTGGGAAACATAATCTTGAATTATGATATTGGATATTATCCATGATTTGAATTCATACAGATTTCATGAAGATCAAATGAATTTGAAGTCAATAGACTTAGGACTGTTTATAGCATTGTTGTGATAAGTACAGTGGTTTGCATTAGATTGCCACTCACTGTTGTTTCTAGTAAGTATTGTATCTATCAATTGTTAATGCCTAAGTGTAAATGGTAGCTGATGGAGAATAATGCTCATAGCCATAACAAGCCCTATAATATTATTATAAATAGTAGTGTCCTTTTAGGTTACATACAAGAACAAAATAAAGCAGAACTGAAAAAGATATTTATTTGAGGGATTTGTTTTGTTAATTAATTAATAGTAAATAAACGAATATTGAATATTCCGGAATGATTTGAATACCATAGATAATTATTATTATATTTTGTAATTATCTCCTGGGTTTCAAATCACCTCCATATAAATAGATGGCTCCAAATTCAGCTTTAATATATGAGAAAAATACCTTTCTATGACTAGAGTTCGGAACCCTTGATAAAACCATAGAAAAACCGAAGTCTTGATACCACAACGTGGCCTTATATGCCACGACGTGATGATGATCAGATTCATCGTTTTGGATCAATTTCGTGTTAGTGCTTAATGGTCCTTTCTGCTTGTTTTTGCATCTTGGATGCGATTACAAAAGAGGAACTCTATGTTGGGTTCTCAAGTTTGATCATCTACATGGCTCGTCAAAAGAAGAAACCTACGAAGAAGTCAAATCTTTGTTTACGTTCTATTGAGTTCTAATGAGTTGCATAGATTAGTTGAGTTTAGATTCATACGTTTCGAGTGTTAGATCAAAATGTTTGGTGTTTTCACCATCATTTTGTTTGTTTTAATAAGACCCAGAACCAATCATTTTGTTCAAATCATAATGATTATAAAATTATGGGGTGTGGTGACATTTTTTTCCGCCGGTATTATGATTTAGCTATGTTTTCCGGCGGCAAACACCACCCTTGGATCCATATTATTGTGGACGACACATTTGAGCGACAAACCTTTGTCGTTTTCTCTCTGCTCTTACTAGTTGAATTGATTGGCCTTTTATTTTTATTTTTATTTTGTAGATTTGCTAATAAAAAAATATAAAATGTTTTATCAAACGTCATTTTACAGCCAACTTCTTTTGTAATTAGATTTTAAAACAAATTTTTTTCCTTTATTAAATGTTACCATCTAAAACTCATAGACAAATAGAAAAATCTTCAATAAAGTCCTAATACTTTATGTTAGTTCACGGTTTAATACTAAATTAAATTTTGTTTAAAAAAAAAGACAAAATACCGGCTAAAATTTCGGAATAATCCTCCGGGGCCGGTTTTATAGACTTAGCCAGTATTGCGGCTTTTTCATCAATTCGTCAAAATATCGGGACTTTTTCATTAATTCGGCTCAAACTTCTGAATAACCTTTTTGTCAATATACTAAAATTAGTATGTTTTTCAATGAGTGTATTTTTTTCATATTCTTTTGCACAACATTATATACTGAGTTTTAAAGTCACAAATTTTAGAAAAAGTATTTATACGATGCAAAAAAATTAACAAACTTCATAAATTTTCAGAAAAATTGTACTGGAACATAAAGTGCTCCATGATTGCAAGATGAAATTCATAAAAAATTATTGTATATTTTCTTTTGATTTCAACATTGGTCTAAGTACCAGGATAACCACAAAACAGACGTAATAATACTAATTGAGTATACTTAAATCCATGGGATAACATTTCTCGTTAATGAACTCCTCCATTCTTCTTCATTCTATTGGTTGTTTAAACCCTTAATCCATGTGTCAACTTTCTCCCACTATTTCTTTCTATCTATTGCAGAATTAGGAAGGATACGATAAGGGATACATATATACACCCCTCAGATAGATCTTTTTCTTTCTTTTCTACGTGCGCACACACATCAAAGTTTTTGATCTGGAACGTGTGTGTGTATGTGAAATGAAGGTATCAGAGTTCAAGCGAATCTTCGTTTTGTGGTCTAGACAAGGCAAGACTAGCCGCTACCAATATGTTGCTACTCTCATTGGCAAATTGGGTACAGGTTCAACATGAGCATGTTGAAGTTCATGATTCAACAGAAAATGAGTATTAACATAAGTTAATTTCTTATTATTTTCGCGCATTAAGCTTAAGAATATGTTTATTTGCTAATATGATAGGAGGTTATCTCATATGTTTTGTAGTTATCCCAATACTTAGATCAATGTTGAAATCAAAAAAAATATATACAAAAAATTTGTATGAATATCATTTTGCAGTTATGAAGCACTTTATCTTTAGTAAAGCTTTTTAGACAAGTTTTATGAATATTGTTAGTTTTTGGCATTTTATAGATATATTTTTTAAAAATTTTGTGACTTTAAAACTGAATATATAATGTTGTATAAAAATAAATGAAAATTACACTCAGTGAAAAACAAACCGTTTTAATATATTGATAAAAGTGTAATTCCGAAGTTTTAGCCGAATTAACAAAAAAGTCTCAATATTTTGACGAATTAATGAAAAAGTCGGAATACTTGCTAAATTTGCGAAACCGAGCATGGAGGGTTATTTCAAAGTTTTAGCGGGTATTCTGATTTTTTTGTAAATAAAATTTAATTTGAAATTACAAAGTAAACTGACATTACTTTGTTGAAGATTTCTCTTAGACAAATATTGACAAAATGAAAAATCATTATTTAACCACTAATTTTAATCCACAAAACATCACAAACCGTTTAGGGAAGAATCTTGAAATTCCTACAAAGACTTTCAAATTGCACCATGTAATTATTATTGTTTTGTTACCACAAAAAGTGAAGCGATTTATCCTAAGCATAAACATGGAGATTCAATCGATCTAGGCTAATATCATACCTGAGGGTTACTATTGACAACTTGCGACAACCTTAAGGTAATTTTAGCAAAATTCTCACAGGAGAAACTTCCCGGTCCTAGAAAATTCAAACAGGTAGTTGGTGCATTGAAAATAAGGGGTTTCTTATAAAACATTATAAGATAGGGGACCACTACGTACAGTAAATATAAGTTGAGGGGGCCTAAGATCAAATATCATGATCTTGATAAAACCGCCATAAAGTAAACGACCTTGTATTCCCTTTCGAAGACTTGAGAATTTGTCTCTGACTTTAAACACTTGCACAGAAAGATTAGATATAGAGATCTGTGTGAAATCGTTCATAGTGATTGCTGTACGCCAACCCTTTTTGACAAAGTAAGAACAGTTGATCGATTCTAAAGATATAAAACCGCGGGAAAGAATTCCGTTTTGATTTTATGTTTTAGAGAGAAATTGGCGATGGAGAAGAGATATCCCGTTGCAACTGGTGGAATCCTCCACAAAATCAAGGTGAATTTCGTGTTTGTGAAATCGTAGTTATGAATAATTTTGTTATTTGTTGTCGAACAATTTAATCTCATCATTTTTACTCGTTTTGTTTGAATTTTTGGTGTTCCGATCGCTGAATTTTGTGCATAAACAGTTATGATCTTCGAGTTTGGTTTGGTATTCATGTGTATAGTTTTGATTAAACGAACTGTAAATTCATGATTTGCTTCCAATGAACACGTATACTTGTTTGTAAGAGTGGTTGCAACGGTTTCACCCGTAATTCATTATCCCTTTGGTTATCGAAAAAATCTGATCCATAGGATAAGATGATTTTCTTATTAGTCTTTTCGATTTGAATATTTTAATCTACTACTTACTGAATTCAATTCGAACACATCATTTTTAAGGATAAGAACTTTAATGCTTTTGCAGTTAAAAAGTTCAAAAAATTGACATCTAAAACTCGAAAAGGACTTTTATCGTAGGGCAGAAAATATATTTTTATTGTTTCTGGAATGAATGCAGATGAACATACAAAATCATTTACCATATGAATTTTATTGAAATTGAACTCAATCAAAGGCATTTTCGTTTACTCCATTTTAAGGAATCTGTATGAAAATCTAATACAAGTTTATAAGAAAATTAAAGATCTTACAATTTTAGGCTTCACTTGAAACTTGAAATAAATGTTTGATCAATCAACATGTGTTACAACTTAAGAATTGGGATTTTGTACCCTTTTGTTATCTTATACTTGTACATATATGAATAGACATTCTGATTTAAAGTTTTGTCTTTTCCCTTTATTAATGATTCCTTTTATGATGGAATGACAGAAAGCTGCTTGCCTTGATGCATCATCATCTGACACTGGAAAAGGAAAAAGTAAGTCATCTGATAATCAAGTGTCTCATGGATTCCACTTGGTTGAAGGGCAATCTGGTCATGACATGGAAGATTACCACGTGGCAGAATACAGAAACATAAAGGGTCATGTTCTTGGACTATTTGCCATTTTTGATGGCCATTTGGGTGATCGTGTGCCAAGTTATTTGAAAGATAATCTTTTTAACAACATTCTTAATGAGGTAAGTTTCACTATCCATTTTACCCTTTTATTGTTTCATTCTTATAACACAACAAAATGTTGTGTGAATCTTTATGAATTTCATGAAATGGAATTATGTTTGAGTAATATTTAAATTAGGGAAAAAAAAGTAACTTAGCAAACCAAGGAATAAAGTACATGATATAGGAAACATAAGGTTGCTTAGGTTATACTTAGCTATGTGATGGTTTATATTTTCAATATCAAAATTCTAGATCCCAAAGCTTCTATTGTCCTATGGAAAGAGAAGATGTTTAATGTTAAAAATTAAAATAAGCAAAAGTCTGAATATTTTAAGTGAATTTAGATATGGTGATATTTTCCATAACTATGCACAAGCAAGTTGTTATGTATTAAATCTATATATGAAGAAATTCCTTTTCAATGGCTTTAGTATTGGTAGCAATTAAAGGTGGCAAGTTTAATGCATTTACTTATGAAAAAATTTATTTGGATTATACTTTAAATTATAAAGGGTCGAATGGGTAAAATTAAAAAAAAAAATGCTAAAAAAGAAAACGGGTTGAAACTTGTTCAAAATATATTTTTAATCCATACAACCTGTTGTGTAGCTTTATTCAAATAGTTAAATTATTATTACTACCATAATATAGTTGTTTTAATCATATTTAATATATTGATTATTTACAAAAAGAAAATATACAAAAAAAGATATTTTCACCTCAAAGCGAAAGCTTTTGTCATATAGGCTAAAAATGGCTATAAAATATTTTGTTTTGCTTTTTTTTTTTTTTTTTTTTCTTTTTAAGATATTTTAAAGTCAATCCTCATACTTTATTGGACCCAGATGGAAATTTGGAATTGGTCTACTCCTACTCCTTGAAGATTTTTTATTGGGTCAATGGCCAAATTTGACTATGAAAATTTCCAAAATCAGTCAGAAAGAATTGCCACGTGGACCATACTCTAGTGGCAATTAGACGAAAAAATAAAACTTAAAAGCCTTCAAAAAAGTTAAAAACCCTACAAAACGATAGAATTTAAGATTAATCGATCATGATTCTTGGATCAAATTCATCCAACGGCTGTAATTTATAGACTAATCAATATGCAATTTAGAAAAAAAAAAAAAAAACGTATTAACTTTTGTCTTCTCTTAAACATTGTGTAGCCAAGTTTTTGGAAAGATCCAATGAAGGCAATAAAAGATGCATATCGTTCTACCGACCAATTTATCCTTGAGAATTCCGGGCAGTTAGGTCCGGGCGGGTCAACTGCGGTCACCGCAATTGTTATTGACGGTAAAGATCTGTGGGTGGCAAATATAGGCGATTCTAGGGCGGTCTTGTGTGAGAGGGGTTCCGCCAATCAACTTACTGTGGACCATGAACCGCACGTAGAAAGAAAAAGGATCGAGAAACAGGGTGGATTTGTCACTATTCTTCCAGGTAAAATATTGTCCTGATTTTTAAACAAATAATGTCATAAATGAAAACATTTTATTTTCACAAAATATCATTGTTTCATGGTATTTTGTAGGGTTAATCTCATAAAAGGTTTTATATTTTGTGTTTGTAAACTGGGAGGGTTTTTTAGAGAAAAAATAAAAAGTTGAGGGTTCATTTGGAAAACATTTAGAAGGTTGAGGATTTTTCAGAAAAAAAAAAAAAGATACAAAGTTGGTGGGTTTTTCAGAAAAAAAAAAAAAAATTACAAGGTCTTTTTCAGGCAAAAATAAATTTGAGATTTAATCCGAAAAAAAATATAAGTTTTTTTTTTTATGAGATTAACCCTATTTTGTAAACAAAAATACTTGCTTATCTATGATAGTATATTTTTAAAAAACAATGGTGTTCTTTAAAAAAGAAAAAAAAAATTAAGACTAGACTGGCGGTCTAGTTCTTTTTCTTTAGGTTTTTTTATGATCGATAAGTCTAGTTTTGTACTTTTTCGATCCGGATCAATTTTCGTTTATCAAAAAATTTAAAATTTTAATTATTTTTTATAATCATTCTCGAGACAAAGTGGTATTACTATCGGCCACGTAAATTTGTTGTTACGATTTTCTTTAAGGTGATGTTCCTCGAGTGAATGGCCAGCTAGCGGTTGCTCGTGCTTTTGGGGACCAAAGCCTAAAAGCACATCTAAGTTCAGAACCCGACATACGACATGTACCCATCGACCCCACCATAGAGCTTGTAATATTGGCAAGTGATGGCTTATGGAAGGTCCGTTATATTCACTCACTTTTCATTTTATATTATCCGGCATTACTTATACACTCAACAAGGGTTCAATTCTCAACAGCTACAATATTGTTGTTTAACTTTATCTCAAATATCAATGAAAGTACGTTGCTATTTCTACTAATTAACCATTGACATAAGTTTCTATTGGTATAGGTGATGAGCAACCACGAGGCAATCGAGATGGTGAAATCCATCAAAGATCCCTTAGCAGCCGCCAAGCGTTTGACCTCAGAGGCATTAGCAAGAAAAAGCAAAGATGATATTTCATGCATCGTTATTCGATTCGGTTGATAACACCCATTAACATCTTCTATTATTCGCATATTCGGTAATATCTTCCTATTACTTAGAATAAATATGTCGTATATAATAGGCGATGATTTAGTATTTTATTTTATTTTTTCGTTTTTTTCGGATTGTATATTCTATACATAAATAAGAATTGTAGCAGACCATGATGTATAGTGTGTTAGGTTTAATATGTTTGTTTTAAAGTGTGCTTAATTTGTCTTCATGTCTTTTACAAATTAATAATGCATCATCAGATTTGGTTGGGCATTTTTTTATGGGAGAATAATTAAAGAAAATATAATGAGGAAATTGAATGTGTGTAGCTGGCATAGTGAATGCAGAAAGTAGAGTAGTGAGTGTAGTGTGTATAATTTGAAGAACAGATGCATGTGATGAAGCACATGACTTGTTATAAAACGGTGGGCAGGTATGTATGGGAGCACTACAATTATTCATCTTTTATTTTCACGTGTATTCTACCGTTGCAAATTATCATTTATTATTTACATCGACCCATAATTAAATATAATGGACGTACTTGAAGATTATAAAATATTAATTATTAATATTTAAATATTGTTTTATGAACAGATGCATTGTATCATTAAATATATATGTATGGGTATCTAATCTATCTAGTCGGGTTCATTTCTCTAAAAGATTTGTAAAGGTGACATTGCACTATCACAAAAGCAATGAGATGGAAAACAGAAGTTTATTACATTCATAATACATAGATGTATACATAAATAATAATGAATAAGAATAAGCTAGGAATTCCTAATTTGGAAGCTGAAATTGTACATGATTATGATTATGATTATATCATGAAATGTAAAATACTTAAACAGATTAATAAAGTAGGCAGATCTTCATGAAAAGAAGATTACATCGATCGATCTCAGCCCCCGAATCCCCAAAAAGCTGCAGATTTAATCCATAATTCTCTATGTTCTTCTTTTCCTTGATTTTCAAGGAAAATGTATGTATTGATAGATTAGGATATGGGTTTGATTAGTAGTACGGAATTACCGGTGGTGGTGGGGAGGCGTAGGATACCCCGATCACTGGCGGAAGAGGGGTGTTGTCCGGTGGGGGTTGTGGGTGTGTGGGTTTATGGGGTGGTGAGGGTGGTTGGGTTTGATGTGGAGGTGGTGGTGGGGAATGATGATGGGTGGTGGGTGGCGGTGGAGATTGAGGTTGTTGTGTTGGTGATGGTGGTGGGTGATGCCATTGTTGTGGTGGCGGTGGAGGTGGTGGTGTTGGTAGAATGCATCCAGATGATGGTGGTGGTGGTGGAGGAAGTGAATGGGATGATGGAGGTGGAGGCGAGGTGCTGACGTGGCCGGGTGGAGAATTGTCCGGTGATGGAACTGGAATATGTTGGGGTGGAGGTGGTGAGGTTTGGCTTCCATGAGGCGGCGATTGGTGGCTACCGTGTGGTGGAGATGGAGTGCTTCCCTGTGGTGGAGATCCATGGCTTCCATGTGGCGGTGATGGTACAGGTTGACCTGCTGGTGGAGATCCGTGGCTTCCATGTGGCGGTGAATGGTGGCTTCCTTGTGGCGGAGATCCTTGGCCTCCATGTGGCGGTGATGATACAGGTTGACCTGCTGGTGGAGATCCGTGGCTTCCATGCGGCGGTGACCCGTGGCTTCCATGTGGAGGTGATCCGTGGCTTCCTTGTGGCGGAGATCCTTGGCCTCCGTGTGGTGGTGATGGTATAGGTTGACCCGTTGGTGGCGATTGATGGCTACCATGTGGCGGAGAATGGTGGCTACCATGTGGCGGCGATTGGTGGCTTCCATGTGGTGGCGATTGGTGGCTTCCTTGAGGTGGAGAAGGTGTGCTTCCCTGTGGTGGAGAAGGTATGCTTCCCTGAGGTGGGGATCCCTGACTTCCATGAGGCGGTGATGGAACCGGTTGTCCAGTTGGTGGTGTAATCTGGGACACTGGTGGTGGTGGTGGATAATGGATTGATGGAGTAGTTCCCTCTCTAGGTGGTGGTGGAGGGTGTAACTTTGTATTTGGTGAACTCTCAGAAGTAGGCGGTGGTGGTGATGGCTGAACAGATGGCGGATGTGGTGTAGGCATGGTAGAAGGGGGTTGAGACGGTGTCGGAGTCGTTGGTGTCGTTGGAGTAGGAACTGACGTCGGAGTAGGGGCCGACGGTGACGTCGGAGTAGGAGCTGACGGTGTATTGGGACCAGAAGGTGACGTCGGAGTAGGAGCTGATGGTGTAGTGGGAACAGAAGGTGTCGTCGGAGAAGGAGTTGAAGGTGAAGTCGGAGTAGGAGAAGATGACGGCGCCGGCGATGAAACACCACCACATTGTAGCTTCCTACAATCAACAGGACGAGCATCTCCAGATGAACACTCCCTCACTGATCGCTGGTTCGTCTTTCCAATAATACAATTCTTCCCATCATCAAACACCTTACCACCACCACCTCCAGCAGCAGAGCACGACGGCGCTTCACCAGTGAAGTAGTTAAAAGAGTAAGTAAAGTTCTGCAATCTCGGCAACCTACAAATACTATCCGGCACCACTCCAGTCAGCCGGTTATGCGCCACATTCAGCTGCTCCACACTTCTCATTCCACCAATCGCCGCCGGCAACGGCCCTTGAAGATTGTTAAAGCTGACGTCAAAAACAGTCACCTGCTTCAACATTCCGATTTGCACCGGCAAACACCCCGTTAGATTATCATTCATGAGAATAATCTCGTTCAACGTTTTCCCCATCTGACCAATACTCGCCGGAATACAACCACCGAGATTATTGTTCGCTAAAACAAGAACAGACACCGGCGAGTTACCCAAGTTCGGCGGAATACCGAACTGAAACCGGTTATCATTCAAAAAAACCGCATCAAGATCTTTATCAAACAGCTTCGTAGGTACAGACCCTTCAAACTCGTTGAACCGGAGATCCAAATACTTCAACGCCGGCAAGGATAACACCACCGTAGGGAAAACTCCGACGAAGCGATTGTTACTTAAATCGAGCTCGTGTAGTAATGTAAGGTTCTTGAAAGTCGTCGGAACAGTGCCACAGAAGCGGTTTGAGTTGATGTGGAAAAGGGCTAGGTCAGTGAGTAAGCCGAGCTCCGGTGGGAGATAACCGGCGATATCAGCATGGTTGAGGTCTATTCCGGCGACGACACGGATAGAGGGGTTGGGCAGGGAGGGGGCGCAGTAGACACCGCTGTAGGAGCAGACGTTTGAGCCTTTCCAGTTGGTGGTGAAGTTGTAGGGGTCGGAAAAGATGGCGGATTTCCATGCTTGTAGAGCAATGTAGGCTTGCCGGAGCCTTGGGTTTTCGAAAACAAGACGGTTTACGTCGTCGTTTTCGGCGGCGGAGCAGATCTGGAGGGTGGTAGTGGAAATGAGCAAGAGGAGGAGGAGGGAGCGTAAGCGCGGTGGAGGCATGATTTAGAGGAGAGAGAGTGAGAGAGAAAGAGAAAATAATGAATAAATGTTGAAACAAAGCAATGTGGGATTCCTGTTATATTTCCCCCCAATGTCAGAATTTAAAGCCTTTGGTTTTATTAACATGAATAATTGATATTTGAATTATTATGGTACCTTTTTAAATCTTACAATATTTAACTTGAATAGGTAAAAACTGCTAAAAGTATCTGTAATATGATTTTTTTTAGTCTTTTGACCTTTTTAACCACAAAAATCTCATTAAAATTGGAATATCTATTCAAAAAAAGTTTTTTTTTTTTTTTTCATTCATAAAGTTTTTACAAAGTTGTTAATTAACAAACTAAACTATCTTCATAATTATTTTTAAAGATTTGATTCAACCAATTATAAAGTAATAAAAAAAGGAAAAAAAACAGATTAGAAAACTATTTTGTTGTGGAGTTTTTTTTTTAAATGGTTTTTTCATAAAAGAATTACACCAAAAACCATGCCTTTACTTGTTAAATTAAATTATATTTATATAAATGGTCTGGATGTTTGGTGGAAACTGCGACTGGTTTTTAAGCATCAATTTTTTGCAAGAACGGTCCCTTTTATTGATACTGTTAGTTTCTAAAAAAACGGGTATTAAATACTTATATATAAAAAAAAAAAAAAAAAAACCTAACTTACCACTATTTTTTACTTTTTATTGTTTATTTTACTATTTATTTATTAATAGCCGAATCACATCATGTTCTTTGAGCGGAACAAAAACAAATATATGATGCTTTTGGGTTTGCTTTTAGAAACCAATATATGGTTGCGACTGGAAAGGGTGTAATGTTGGTTGTAGAAAAGTGATAGATTAATTATAGACAGAATTACATATTTGGTCCTTTTGGTTTGTAAAGAAGACAATTGTATGCCCTTTTGAGAAATTTTGTATATAAATTGTCATTTTCATGTTTCAAAAGAACACGGAGGGTTCCTTTAGGTAACGTGCTCACCGGATTATTTTTTTAATTAAGTCCAATATGAAACGAAACATTTGTAATTGCTATCGCATGGACCATTTATATAACTTTTTCTTGCGATAAAGACCATTTATGTAATTTTATTTATTATTTAGACAACTACAAAAATAATCATTATGATATGCATTTTTTCTTAGGTTTGATCCAAACCTCGAATTTTTTGATCGATGGTTCTTTTGACCATGATTGATCATCACTTTGACCGTTCGTAAAATTGAAAAGACAAATGCCTTTCTTATATACTTTTTATATTTTCTCTATTTAATTTAAAACTATTATTAATTAAAATATGGAGCCTCTCTCTCCCTCTCCCTATTCCTGAGTTTATATGATCTTCTTTGTTTAATAGATCAAATCCTTTCCAATTTAGCTCCGAAAAAATTGCAAAAATGGTCCCCATTGTATGTATTTTTTCTGAGGTTGGGTTCAAACCTCGACCTTTTTTTGGATTGGTAGTCTTTTTAAACTAGTTTGATTGCGTATTTGGGCTCTCTAAATATTGAAATGACTATAATATCCTTAGGGTATTTATTTTTCATTTTTCTTTCATTTTTTTGTAAATCAAATCATTATTTATTTATTTTATTACTCAGAAAAAGAGGTCTCTCTCTCTCTCTCTCTCTCTCTCTCTCTCTCTCTCTCTCTCTCTCTCTCCTCTCTCTCTCTCTCTCTCTCTCTCTCTCTCTCTCTCTCTCTCTCCGGTTCCCAAAATGTGCATCATCTTCTTACTCATGCAAAAGAACAGCCATGGTTGTGCTCCACTTCTCTCTTTTCAAACAAACCCTTATACCTAAATTACACAAACGAAATCCCCCTTCCTTTTTATTCTCACAGATTCTCTGTCTTCTAATCAAGAGTCCTTGATAAACCCTAACTCTTAATCGTACACCCCAGAACAAGACGAAGAGAAGAAAATCTTATAATTGCTCGAGTTTTTATAATTCTTGACAAACCCAGTTCTTAAATCCACACCGACGACGAAAAAAACCCTGTAAATTGCGATTAAATCTCTTTGAGCTGCGGTGATTGTTGACCTAATTGTGGTGGTGATAATGGTGGTAGGAATTTATCAGTGACCATCAAACTTGGCCGACATATTTCTTCTAGACTTATTACTATGTTCTCAAGTAACTACGTCAGAACTCAGAATATTGGAATTAATTATTATTAATTTCACATCACAATTCTCAAATCTATTTGGGAACTGAGTTTGTAGGGATAAATGGGTTGGATGGGTGTTGAAATTGCTTATTCTTATGTTCTTATCATTGATTTCTCAACTAATTTCTTGCTTCAGGATGGATTTGGTGGTGTTACAATTTCAGTAGAATTTGTGCTTCAGATTCACAACAGTTTTTCATGGATGTGGCGGTGGTTTTGTGTTTGGTGGTGTGATCATGACGCGGCAGAGCACATGAGCAAAGAGAGTGAGAGATAGAGAAAGAGATAGGGGAACTAGATGTGGGCAGACCGAAGAAGAAAACCTTGAAGCACAAAATCATTGTGTGTGTATCAGTGTATGTGTGTGTAGAACCTAAAAATTTGTTGGGTAATTCATGTGTGTTTGTATGTTAATGTATTTACAAGAAAAACAAAAATTTGTAAATCTTCAAAAAAATGACTTTTCTAAATCTTTTGTGGTGATTGTTGAGACAAGTAAAATGTTCTTGATTTGCCTTTCTTCTAGAAACCTAGTTTATGGACCAGAGAAGAAGGTACGGGATGGCGAGAGGTGAGTGATGAGAGATAACATGGGAGTTTTTAGTTGTTGATAGAGAGAGAGAGAGAGAGAGAGAGAGAGAGAGACGATAGAGAGAGAGAAAGAAAGAAAGAAAGAAAGAAAGGCTCCATATTTTTAATTAATAAAACTTATAAATTAAATAGAGAAAATATAAAAAGTGTATCAAAATGGCATTTTAGTCTTTCTAGTTTTCCAAGGGACCAAAGTCACAATCAAACATGGTCAAAAGGGCCACCAATCCAAAAAACTCGAGATTTGGACCAAACCTCAGAAAAAATGCATACCACATGGACCATTTTTGCAGTTTTGTCTAAAAAGTATATAAAAATACAATAATAAATAATAGAAAAAACTACAAAAATAGTCCTTTTGGTATGTATTTTTCCTAGGGCTTAGTCCAAACCTCAACTTTTTTTTGACTTCGTGGTCCTTTTGAGCTAGTATCAATATGGATTTGGTCCCTCAGTAAACTAAAATGACTGTAATACCCATGGGGTATTTATTTTTCATTTTTCTTTCATTTTTTTTAAATCTAATAGTTATTTGTTTATTTTAATAATTAAAAAAAGAGGGGCCCACCTCCACCTCTCTCTCTCTCTCTCTCTCTCTCTCTCTCTCTCTCTCTCTTCATGCAATTCATCCAATTCTCTCAGTACCTTCAAAACTCATCTCCCAAGAAATCCAAGGTTTTAAATCATATGAAATAAAAACCTAATCCCCTTTGTTTTGTTTCTTGGTACGATTTTTGAAGAAAAAAAACCTTATTGGATAAATCGTGTATAATATATTAGAAAGGGAGATACAGACAGTGGTGGTGAACATGATCTTCAAAAATAGAAGATGCAATGGAGATGAATCAATGATAAGGTGATGAAATTTCAATTTACAAATATCGATTTATAGATGTTAAAATCTCGATTTATCGAAAAAGCTCCACCTTCAAGATCCAAACTTCTGTTCTTCTTCAGAGATGAAACACAAACGCCCCACCTTCGAATCTAGGGCTTTACTTGTTCATTAGATGCCAAAAATGTTAAGGCCATCAGTCGTCGATTGAATCGGCCATTATAGAACATCGTCCAAATGAGGACAGACTGGCGAGGGCATGATCCAACTTCAGAGCATCCACTTTCAAGCATCGTTGAATCGGATGCATCATTGATCAAAAGGAGGAAAACATATGTGGTTATTGATATACGTATGAAGATGAACATCCACACCCAAATTAATTTCCAAAAATTAAAACTACACAAATGCACACACATATACTCAAATCAATTTCTAAAAAGAAAACACAAACACACATATTAATAAATTTCATGAGTGAAAAAAAACATATGCATTTTAAGATTTAGTTTCAGGGGATCAACACACACACATGATTTCATATTCTATTTGATTTCAGTTTTTCGATTCTCGAGTTCCAGTTGAGAAAAACCCAATACCATTGAGTTCTGATTCTTGAACTCGTTATTTTAGTGTGCATTTTGCAAGTGTTATGTATGAAGCCACTCAATATATATATATATATATATATATATCGTCAGAAGACAACCCAGAAGATCCCCTTACAAAGGAATAATTAGGGTTAAGCACTTGCAACATGTGAGGGGCATTGGGCTAACGAATGATATTAGTTTTAGTAATTAGATAAATCGAAACTTGTAATAGCTAAATAGTAATTGACATTTGATGATTAAATAAAAGGAGTTTTATTTATAAGTAAAGTTATTATTTTGTGTCAATTATTTACTATTGTTTCACTTTGCATGTTTTGGCTTCCAGAAGAATAAGAATTATTCAAACTATCCACATTCGATCATACATTGGAAGTAAGTATGAAAGAAGGTTGTCATGAGTTGGATTGTAGATTGCTTAAGGGGCTAGACATACCAAAAGTTTGCTACACCATTCAAGAGTGCTCCTGAAATAAGATTTGAGTATTGGATTCAACCCGCACTCGCCTGAATTACTTCATGGAATTTATCACGAGTAATTGTGAGACGATAATATCATATAACCTTCAAACCAAGATATATGAGTTGTTGACTGGGAGTTGGTTGTGCATTGATGGCATGAAAACACATCAGTAGCTTGATGTTATAAAACGTGTTGTTGTGCATGATTTTATGAGTAGTTAGTACAAGAATATAATGTCGAAGTTTATATGTTCCTTTTATCCTATGGGGATTAAAAGTGATATCTTGGGCCCATCGATGATTATGTTTTTACTATGTGCCGAGATCGGTTAGAACTAAATTGATGTGTTCAGTTTTGTTCTATGTCAGACTAATCAGAAATCGGGAAATAAACTGTAGTACAATAAATATGACTATGTTCCATGTATATGTCCGTATAAATATATTTAGAACAGAGGAATATATGATCCCTTATCTAAAGGATGAGTCACTGGCTGGGTCAGATTTCGACAGCAGCTTTTGAAAGCTTACGATTGCTAATCGGATCATGAAGTTGCATTGGTAGTTATAGTTACTAGACTTATCCAAGTGGGAGACTGTTGGGTTTGGTGTCTAAGCCCATAAGTATAACAGGGATTTATTTGACCCGATTGTAGCATCGTCCTTTTGGGTTGCCTTCATCAGTACAATTTGATAGGATGGACTTTTGAGAATAATGTTATTTGGGATTTATTAGTATATTATAAGTATAATATATTAATTAAGAAATCATATTATTTAAATTAGTATTGATCATGAATTAATTTGGAATTAATTTTGTGATCAAAAGAGACTAATTAAATATATGGGGATTAATTATGTAAATCAATCATTCTTATAGTGTGGGCCAGTGATCCATGGTTATTTAGGATGCGCTAAACAATTGTGATAATCCATGGAGGTTTAACCCATGGAGCATAAGAGTGTGAAAATTCATGGAGCATTAGGGTTTGCATGGATGTAACCCTAGCATTTGCTAGACTATAAAATGGATCCCCTAGAACCAAAATCGGTTGCCACTTACATTCTAAGAGAATGAAATTGATTTTGTGCTAAGCAACTTATTCTGTCAAGCCTCTTCTTGCATTTGGTATTTGTGAACCATTAGAGGCATCACACTTGGGGTGCTCAAGCTTTCAAAGGTCAATAAGTACAAGTCCTTCTAAGTGGTAAGTTATCTAACTAGTTGTATTGTACTTTTGATAATTTGTATGCTAGTTAGGATATATGCTTTGGAAAACTGAAAATATGCATGTATAATTAGAAAAAAACATAGATCCAAAGCATTTAGGGTTGCATGTGCACCATAGGAGTGTTGTAGTGCTCAAAACCGAATAGTAGATCCCGTCTATACCTACGTGTGGATATAAAAAACATCAAAAATGGAGCTCGTATGCAAAGTTTATGGATGTTAGAAGATAATTAGTTTTTGGAATAACCATGAGGCAACACGTGGTGCGATCTAATCTACTGCTTCCTTACCACAACTTGCCACTGGATGGTGACACCTAGCCACAAACACCCATAGTTCTGCTAGGGAATGCCCAGCTTTCACAAACGCCATGTGTTCGGCTCTAGAACGCCCTAGGTTCGCCACGTTCACACCGAACTCAGCCAATAAATAGAGGTGCAAATCTCCCATTTTCTTCACACCTCTCCACTACTTTTCTCCCAATTACTCCGAGAAGAAGAGCTTTCGGCTCGGTAGTTCTTCTCCCGCAGAGGAAGGTTCCAAGCCAAACCTACTAGTAAGTGAGTTATGCTTACCCTACTTTAAGTATAGCTTATATTTAAGTTCAATATCGTTATTATGAACTTATAAACAACGTATACATAAATATACATATACATACACACACACACACACATATATATATATATATTATAAAATATAATATACATAGTGTTATTATAACATTTTTTAACTACTCGCGATACGGAGAATCTGGTTTGAAGGGTTGCATAGGGTTGTTGGATTTCAGAAGTGCTAAAATGGTCCTATCCTCCGGTGTTTCATGTCTTGCCCCTGTCTGTACATAGTGGTTGAAAAGTGTTGTTTAACACTTATGAAACAATATTGCTCATAAATAGTCGTCATAAATATTAGACTAAAATCTAGTGGTAATAATACTAGGTTTCTTCGAAGGAAAATAGAATCGTTAGAAACGAAGCGTTGCTCGAGTTTGGAATCATCACTTTAACTAACGAGTGCATAGTTACTTTCATCTTACACATATATATGAATTATTTATTATAAATTACATGCTATGTATGCATATTATTTGTGTTCTTGATATCTATGATGGGTGAACCGAATATACATGTTTTATTTGATGTGAACTATATATGTATTTTATACCTATAAAAATATTGGGTAAAGATGGGTGGATGAATGATGAGGGATGAAACATAATATAGATGAACATTGGCAACTGCGCCACAACCTATATATGTTTTTGAACTACGATTACTATAAACATCCTAGCAGTTGCGCCTAAAGGATAATATCGCCAGATGCACCTAATAGAGAACATCATAATCCTGGCAGCTGCGCCTAAATGATAATATTGGAAGCTGCACCTAATTGAGAACGTCATAATCCTAACAGCTGCACCTAAATGATAATATTGATAGATATGCCTAATAGATAATATTGGCAGC